TCACGGAGCCACTGAGAGTGGAAGGTGAAGCTCCCATCTGGAAAGTCGATAGTGACTTTGTTGCCATTGGTGCATTTCTTACACATGGTGGCCCTCGTGACAGAGGACTCCAATGTGTCGATTGAACCCATGGTTGGAGGAAGTGAATGATGGGTGATGGTTAGATCAAAATTATGTTATGATTGAAGACTGAAGTCGGTGAAGCTTCTTGATCATGGATGGAGAAGCACATCTGATGGACTCCTGTTTAAATGAGTTCAATGGCGCAGTATGGAATCACTGATCAACCTCCCCACTGATTGAAAGTAGTGGCCTAATCTAGCGATGATAGCGATGCAGGTGAGATTCTCCGCACTTGTCGTGAGGTTTGACGCCAGAGACGCTTGTGTAACGTGAACCCACCGGTTGTGGTGAAACCTTGGAAGACGGAACGCCAAAATGTCGACCTAGTACCGCCATAAGCACTTGAATCCGGGCCTTGCATGTCAGCATTACGGCTGGCTTGCATTGCACCAAATATCTCAAAGGACTATAGCTGCTGCATGAGCGACTCGGCCGCCCCGTAGAATCTGGTGTAACCGCCGAGTCAACCAAACAGTGGCCAACGTGCACCTCGTGATGCTGGCGTGCTTGCCAGGATTAGCATAAATTAATTGATCTCGCATACAGGAAGATGAACCATGGTCGGGCGTATCCGCAGTAATCTAGCGTGCGGCTGCCGCATGCATCTTTCGTACATCCATGGATTCGTTCCCCATGGGGACGTCGGTTGGGAGAAGGTACGTAGCGCCTTTCGGTGGCATCGAGCATGATGAGCAGATCGGTTACACGATTATCGACTCCTCATCAGCACTCGACGCGTATGCATCTCCTTTGGTTTGACATGGCACCGGGTGATACTGTGGATCGTCGATACCATGCATCATCAGCGTCTCGCGCAATCATCACCCAAACTGCCTCATCATGCCTACATGCTATTGGAAGCATGAGATTGAGGCGCTTCCACCCTTTATTTCGGTAACACATGCATGCCGAATTCGCACTGCCTAGCTCTAGCATACGTCGAGACTGCTTCACTGGTGCAGAATGACGTGGAAGTGAGACACATGAGCTTCATACGGCTTGCAACGATCCGGTTTGGAATACGCTGGCGCAGATTGTACTGGTATTGACTTACTATTGACGTCACCGTCATGTCTGAGCTTTCATATAACATGAATGATCCATAGGAAAACATAAGGTGTATCTGTGTATCAGAAACAAGCTTTGACGTACTTCATTCAATCTCCACTTCTACACTCCATTCACATCTCCAATCAACATGGCCAACACTCAAGTTCTGACCTCATCGGCTGAGCCAACAGCTCAGGGCGTCATCAAAACATGGGCAAACAAGCCTGATCCTGGCCTCATCAAGACCATCGACTTCAGTGACTTCTTGTCGGGAGACGAGAAGCGTGTGAAGTTCTGCCTCAGCGAGCTTCATGAGGCCTGTGTTGAGCATGGGTTCTTCCAGATCATCAACCACCCGGTATCTCTCGAGACTCAGAAGGCCATTTTGAAGGCTTCTGCCGACTTCTTCGCACTTCCACGAGAGGAGAAGGGTAAAGTAGCCGCCACAAGTAGCTCTTAAGATATCTTGCTAACTTATTACTAGTATGTAGCCTTCTTGCTATGCTTTGCTAACGCAGTTCTAAGACATCTTATTATTCGTGCTAACAGCTTGATAGGCAAAGCTAGATCAGCGCCAGAACGATCACAACCGGGGCTACCAGACTCTTCTTTCGCAAAAGTACAAGGAAGAAGATACGGCGCCAGATCTCAAGGAGGGCTACTACGTTGGTCCTGAGCTATCTTGGGACCACCCGCAAGTTGTGGCTGGGAAGTTCGCCCACGGGCCGAACTACTGGCCCGAAAGCCTGGGACAAGGTTTCCAGGATGTCTGCATGGACTACCTTGAGCAACTCAACTTCCTCAGTGTTGAAGTGCTGCGAGCTGTCTCCATGTCGGTAGACGGCAATGTCGAAGAGACCAATGAGTTCATCAAGCACTTCACTGAAGGGCCCATCACCTACTTCAAGATGAACCATTACCCGAAGCCACCCCGGATGGACGACATCGGCCAGAAGGGCCACGGCGAGCACAAAGACTTCGGCTTTGTCACTCTCCTCCTGCAAGACGGCAACCCCGGTCTCGAAGTCTGGGACGCGCCGTCTGAGTCCTGGATCGACGTGCCGCCTACGGAAGGCGCCTTTGTTGTCAACCTTGGCAATCTGCTCGAACGCTGGACCAACCGCAAGTACCTTTCGAACGTACATCGGGTACTCAACTTCTCTGGTACTGACCGCCACTCTATTGCGCACTTGTACCACGTAAGTTCAACTACCAAGATTCAGGAAGTGAGGCAGCCGCTAACGATTCGTAGGGCAACCCTGACTACATGATTGAGGCTAAGAAGTCGTGCTACGACCCCGCCGTAGGTCCAGAATTTGGGCCCATCAGGATTGAGGACTTCGTCAGGGGTAAGTACGATGAAGTGTACGCAAGAGCGGGTGTCATTCCAACGGATCATAAGGCGCATTAGGCGGAGAAGTGTTCAGTGGCTGAGCGGGTCGTTTCCTTGTCTTTCTTTGTTTACTCTCACTCGCTAAGATTGCTTCGGCCCACCAGGAAGTCATGTTTTCCTTGGCTTTTCTTTGCATGTAGACGGCAAAGGTAGCATACCAATAAACATGTGTTTACGTCAAAGAAGTTGTCTTATCACACCACATCATGCACTATCAAGCCCTCTGCCATTAAATCCGTATCATCAATAAACACGTATGTCGGGATACATCTAGAACTAGTTGTGGGGTGAAATTGGACCTTGAAAGCTACATCAGCTTGGGCAGCGAGTAAACCCCGACTGTTTCCATTGTGTATACTCCAAAACGAGAACCACTTTTAGTTTATGACGCTACTGGCCTCAAACTTGGGTCGAAGAATGTGGGGATGAACGCCCGGGTACGGACAGAAACCGGTGATTGCATGCTAAACCTGTATGTCCTGCCATGTCTTTTTGACGCCCCTGACGCCTATCTGTAAGACAATCTGTTTCCCCGCATGACGAACTTCGCAATTAGCCTGCAGCTCATCGAGGATTCTGGTTCGATCGACTGCAGGACATGTAAGCTTCCAACTTTCACTCAATGTATCAGACCCATGCTGATCGCTTGGTGTGACCCCTACACGTACCCATGTATCACGACCTGCATAGCTTGGCTCATCATGAACGGCCGAGTATCTCGTAATGGAGACTTCGACGGTTTCGGCTGCAATTCCGTCAGCCGAGCGTGCGTTTAGGCGGTCCGTTATTGGTCTTGTGCATTTGTATGCGTACACCGCGGCATGGAGGTTCGTATCACCACAGCTTGTAGTGTCAGCTCTAGCATCGATCGCAGCCGATGCCTGCGATCTCCGTGAAGGTAAAGCATCATATCAGTGCGCTGAGTAGTTGGTATGATGTCACGTCGAGGGGATTCTTGACGTGCAACATCCTGGACATCGCTCATCTTCAGTAGGATCGAGGTTTTCGTAACGGCGATCTTGATGAACGAACTTTGCATGCTAATGTGTGTGCCAATGTTCACTCAATAGCATTTTTATGATGTCATTGACCAGAGCATCCGTGCTATGAGATTGTCACCCTCAATGACACTCCTGGACGACGTATAAGAAAGCGAAACAGCATCTTATCAATCTCTTCCTACGGCTTGAGTATCTTCAAAGAGTCTTAAGTATCATCCACGATGCCGTCTTTACTTCCCCTCCTCATCACCCCAGTCACGCAAAAGGTCGCACCGATTGAGAGTCTTTTGACAAGTCTTTTGCCGAAAGTGGCCAGTGGCCCACCACCACTGTTCGAGCCGACCACCCCGGCAAAAGACGGGCCGGAGTGCATTCAGGACTGTTCATCATGTGACATCACATACCCGGAGAAGTTCAAGATCAATGAGACCGAGAATTTGTACGGTACTGTCATGCCTTGGGAGAGACATCTCCTCGTTGCGACTGGCAAAGCCAATTGGATCAGCAATTTCATGAGTGAGGAAGGCAGCATCGGAGAAGCCATAGCCAAGACACATGGACATATGGTCGAGAAGGTAAAATAAACCCCTCCACATCAAAAGCGATGATGCCTAACAAGAGCCTCTAGAAGTTCATGCTTTCCGCATCCAACATCCCCGTACCGGACTACAGCGTCAACAAGAATCCCGACGACGAACCAATCTCTTCTGTCCTCCTTCTCCCAGCTTTCGTCATCGTTGATTGCGTCACACCATCCCGGACACCAGATCTCATATCACACCTCGTCAACCGCAGCCCATGCAATACCTCGTCATTGCTTCCGCTCAACTCGCTTAGCGTGCCGCCAGAATCCGGACTGAAGATACGCTCATGCCCACACGACTACCTCATCTTACTGTGCAGTCACCGGACCCGCGATGCCCGGTGCGGTCAATCTGCACCACTCCTGAAGAAAGAATTCGAACGCCATCTCCGGCAACGAGATTTGTATCGCGACTCGCTTGACGAGAGACCCGGGGGTGTGGGTGTTCACTTCGTCAGTCATTTTGGTGGGCACAAGTTTGCCGCAAATGTCATTGTGTATCGTCGGACACCGTTGCCATTTCATGGAGCAAAGGAGAGTACGGATGGCGCTGCATCACTTCCACTGAGAGAAGCAAAGCAGTGTATATGGTTGGCGAGAGTTCGGCCTGAAGATTGCGAGAACATCGTTCGGTACACCATTCTGCAAGGAAAAGTTGTCAAGCCTGATCGGCAGTTGCGTGGTGGGTTCGACAGGGAGCGTTGCGTTACGAGCTGGTGATGATTTGGGTTTCTTAGTATCGCGATTTGTCAATCATTGCAAGCGCCTTTCGCCCATAGTTCTAGTAATGAATGATATGATATCGTAATACTGTTGTAGTCACCCATGTTTGAATGCCTTGTACTTTGACTCACCACCAATCTCCTTGGGCATGCATCGCATCCGCCAGCTTGACAAACCCGGCAATATTGCTTCCCACAAAAAGGCTGGGTAAGTCTTCCGCGCGCATATCCGTGTAGTTTTTGGCGGCTTCAATACCGCTGTGAAAGCATGATTCGACAATGCGATACAGTTCAGCCTCGACCTGTGCGGCCGGCCAAGCGATGCGCTGGCTGTTTTGCACCATTTCGAGCCCTGACACTGCCGAGCCGCCAATGTTGGCACCCTTACCTATGGATTGGATCAGCGAGTTGATGAGACTTAGAGTGGTGTTGCCAAAGTACCTGGAGCAAACCACACACGTCCGTTCGGATTATCTGCCCTGCGCGATTCGAAGAGTTGGATAGCGTCTTGTGCGCAGCCCATGTTGCTGCCTTCGGCGATGAAGCGACAGCCAGCAGATATCAGTGCTTCTGCTTCGTCTTTGGACATTTCGTTCTGCGTGGCGGAGGGTAACGCAATATCGACTTCCTTCACATGCTTCCAGGGTCTTTCGCCTTCGAGATGCTCGAACCTTTGACCCTGCTCCATTGCCATGATGTCGGAAAGTGGAAGGCGTTTCTTCTTGATAGAGGCGATGAGGGCGATGTCGTCTTTTGTGAAGCCTTCCACAGAGATAGCTTTGAGCGTCCCCTTACTGTCGGACAGAGTAAGGACGACAGCACCCGCATCAATGGCTTTGATAGCGGCATACTGTGCGACATTTCCAGAGCCTGAAATCGCGACCTTCTTGCCACGCGTAGACTCAGCGCCATCGGAAGCGTATTCGATCATCAAAGAGACGTACTGTGATTGTACTGTTAGCGAGTAAATCAGGCCTTTTCGGTGCTTGACGTACATGAACCAGCCCAAAGCCAGTTGCCTCAAGCTTCATCAGACTTCCACCAAACGCATCTCCTTTGTTTGTGATGCAACCTTCCCACCTCGTAGTCGCCGCCTTGAATGCGCCAAACATCCATCCCACTTCGCGCCGTGTACAGCCAACATCACCAGCAGGCACGTCCGTATCAGCTCCAATGTACTTGCTCAGTTCGCGCATGAAAGACACGCAAAAGCGACGAATCTCGTGATCAGATTTGCCTTTGGGGTCAAAGTCTGACCCTCCCTTTGCACCACCAAGATTCACTATTGCGATGGTCAGAAAGATCTGGACATTGACTGACTGGAGATGTAAGACTTACAGCCTGTCAAAGCATTTTTTAGGGTTTGCTCGAGCGAGAGAAACTTCAGCACCGAGAGGTTGACGGACGGATGAAACCTCAGTCCGCCTTTGTACGGCCCCAGTGCTGAGTTGAATTGTACACGATAGCCGCGGTTGACTTGCACGCAGTTCCTGTCATCCTCCCAGATCACACGAAATTGAATGACGCGTTCGGGAACAGCAAAGACTTTAAGAGCATCTCTGTACTCTGGATGCTGTTTAAGCACCGTGGAGCCATCGAGCGATGACGCAAGGTCTGAGATGCGCGTTAGCAAGTTACGCACATCGACGATGGATATGAAGGTTCAGTACGCACCATTGTAGGCTTGATCAAACTCCGGTTCGAAGGAAGCCATGTTGCAGATACCGAAGACAGGATGGATGGAAGGCTAAAAGCGAGGGTTGCGCACTCAATTATGTACAATGAGCCGGCGACCTACGCGTATTTGTATACTCAAAACGTTTGTTCAGAACGAGCATAGCGCGCTATTACGCTATCGACCATGGCTGTCTGCAACATGCAACAGTGAATGCTGACTGCAGCATGTTGTACCATGCGAATCAGCGCTGTCCAGTAGGCACATGGGCGTTGCATCCCTCGGGTCCAGATGTTGGCAGGGATGTGTTGGCATCTTCATCATTAGCGAGGTCATCACCCAGTCGGCGTGTATGTTGATAAGAGAGATCATTAAAGGCGTCTAGGAGGGAAAAGGGGATGAGGAGTTGTGGCTGTTGAGCACGACCCCACTCTGCAGTGGCTAATGCCGAGGTATCCCAATCGGGTTAGCGTCTGTTGTCATCCCCTTTGTCGCCCTGGCCCCGATCCCCAAGTGTCATCGCTCACCACCGTACCATAAACGTACGTAGCAACAACGCATCTCGACTTTAATCGTTCCGAGTCTGACTTAATATTCCTCACAAGAAGATGCCGCAAGACCCTGAGCCAAGTTGGGTTGACTGTCTCGATCATGGAGACGCAATCGTCATAGCTTCGACCTGGCATGCTCTTCCCACAGCGGACGGAACGAATCTTCGAGTGGGCTATCGCGCATCTCAACCCTTCCTTTTGCCGTCTTGAATAACCGCGGTAGCCCGGTCTTCTCGAAAGGTACTCCATCTCGCACCATAGCAGCCAGACCCTTACTCGACAACAGTATCTGCGGCATTCCGTGACCATTGAACCCCGCGATGATGAATTGTCCTGGCTTATTTGGAACTGGACTAATGTGCGGCATGAAGTCTGCACTATAGCCCATGACTGTTCAATGCGTTAGTTGCGCATGGGCAGGAGACTACGATACTTGCTTCCAGTCCACACCTTCTTTGTCTGCGCTTGCGTATCCTCCCATCCGCGGAAGTGGCGCTGCATGTACCCGTCGAAGTAGGTCGTTGCTTCATCAACAAGCTCGTCATCGCGCACGGTGTCGAACCAGCGCTCAGGCTTGTGCCAGAACCGCTGCCTTGCGCCTCCAACGATGATGCTTCCGTCTGCTCGGGGAATGAGATAGTCGTAATTTCGGCCGTCGAAACGAAGGGCGTAAGTGTTGTTGAGATGTGGTGCGTGTTGCTTCAATGCGCTGTCGATATGGCTGCAGACGCCGCGGATCGGAGTTATGCTTCGCGTGTATTCGGGCAGAACTTGGCTCGCGTAGCCGTTGGTGGCGTGGATGACCTTTGTGGCTTTGATAGTGCCGCGCGATGTTTCTATTATCCATCTTCCTGCCTCGTCCGTCGTGTCGGATACAGACGTCACTGGTGTATTTGCTTGAACATTGAGCTTATGGTCTTGCTCGAGTAGCTTCGCTAGCAATTGATGCACCATCTTTCGTGGCCACAAGTGCGCTGCAGTAAAGCTGACAGCCAGCTGAGCGCCCTTGACTCCCGATACCTTCGGAAGAACAATTAGCCTTACGATTCATACGTCTTTATGAAAGACAAGCGTGCTCACCCTCTCTGCATCTTCTTTAGAGACACAAGCTACGTCTCTTAGTTCGACAATATTATCCCTCCTTAGCATCTCCCACGCCGCCTCCGTCTGCCTGGCATGATCGGCATCCAGATACACATCGATCGCTCTCGTAAGATGTAAGTCACAGTCCAACTTCTCAGCCTCAACAAGCTCTTTGACTGCGTACACATTCGCCGCTTCAAAATTTGTAACTTCCGCTGCAGCGCTCGCACCATCCATGGATACATATTTCGAGACGTTGAAGTAAAGGTCTGGCTTTACGTGCCCGCCATTGCGACCAGTGGCACCAAAACAAATCTTGCGAGCATCTAGAATGAGGACAGATTGCTTCGGGGACGACGAGGATGATGTGAGAATATTATAAGCTGTCGCCTAGTAAATTGCAATCAGCACATATGCGTTCGGAAATCAACTCGTGATGTAGACGTACAACCCCGGCAAATCCCGCACCGATGATTACAATGTCTGCCTCAGTGGAAAGGTCATCCGTACTCAGTAGGTCATCAAGAGGATTGGATACAGAAGTCCAGAATGAGTGTACGGGATCTGCTACCGGTGTGCGGTCGCTCTTCATGTTGCGATATCGATGTGTGCTGCATAAACGTACTTGTACCGGATCGCAGAAGACTGCCTATCAAAACCAAGGCCACAAATATTTTGCCCAAACGACGGTCTGATATGGCTACAACAAGATTACAGAGCGTTTTCGACAACGGTACATGGGTATGCACATGATGAGGCATGTAGATGGGCGCGTCGCAAAGCGCGCTGGTGATTTCCCCACTTCCTGAACGTCTCAACGGCTGGAGTTCTCCAGTGTGTTTAGCGATTTGTACTCCATGATTCATTCTTATCGACGATAGAGTGGGGGATGTGCTCGATAACGGCGACGGAGAACATTTGCCGAAACGTAGATCAGCAAGGGTGATTACTCGCTTCGCTGAGGAGGTCATGCACATATCATCCCATAAGGTATACGAAGATGTTTAGCGGCGTTCTGGGCAATCCTTCTACACGACGTTGACTTGGCATGACTGTTCGACACTCTGAGTTTCTGCAGCTGACGAGACCGCGTGAGATGTCTTGAAATCGCTATGTTTCGGAATACAAACGGCTTAATTTGAGTTGGCATCGGATGCAGCTATGATGCCACGAGCCATCTCTGGAAAGGAATCCGCGGTCACATTCATTTCGCCGAAGAGATTGTCGCAACGAATCTTCTCCCATATCGTGCAATACGCAGCCTTGAATCTGTTGAATGGTTAATGGAGCTGCGCAGGTAGACGGGTAGTGCCAACTCACCCGTGAATCTTAGCAGCCGCAACATCCCAGTTATGCGCAGCTGCAAACCATTTCTCATCACTGCCCAGCTTCTCCATCATCATTTGGTACACTTTTGGATCCGGTTTACAAATCTTGGCCGTGTCGCATGAGATGAAGTTCTCCTTGGGCATATGGATACCATTGTGCGTGAAGTAGCCTCCAACACGCTCAACGTCCCCAGCCGTCAACGCCCACACCGTGAAGCCAGCATCCCGGAGCAATTGGAAACACTCCGCGACACCAGGCCGCGCTTCAAGCTTCTTGTACTGCTCTAGGATGTATTGCAAATCCTTGTCGCTAGCGAAAGTTTGGGGTTCCTCGATGCCGGACATGTATAGCATTCGGTAAAAGAGGCTGCTGAAGACGTCGCGGAAAGCCATGTAGCGACCATTCATGCTGAGATAAGTGTACTCTCTTTCGGTGACTTCAATCCAGAGGTAGCCAAATAGTCGTGGCTTGATGCCTTCAGCACGCATCTTGTCGCCTAAGCAGTGCTCCAGAGCATCGAATATGGCATCATAGGAGACGCAGGTGCCGACAATATCGAACACTACATGTTTGCTGGATTTAGACATGACGGAAGTATTGTGTCTCGAGGAATCGGCTTTCCGTCGCGGTTTATGAGGCCTTGGAGTAGGTGGTGGTAGAGGGTGACAGCAGACCGTGCTTGTTGGTCAAGTTCGCATTCTTCGGATGGCTATGAAGAAGTACAGTATGTCATGGTAATTTCGGGGACAGAGTCGAGCGAATTGTCGGGTATGATAAGCGCTGCTCCACTCGCATCTTGGCCAGGTAGGGGTTTGTCTTGGCGAACTCCGCATGATGCCAGCATTGCTTCGGGATACGCCCGCTCACTATCCTGTTGGGGTTTACTAAGCTGATAGAGATAGATAGGAAGCGGGGTCGTGGTTTCGCAACAGTGGCGGTCTCTTAGGTCGCGAGTAGGCTTGCGATAACATCGAGCAGTTAACAGGTGCCGTACGGATAGATCGCGGGAAGGCTGCAGCCGTTCGAAATGGACCGAACGTATATGCTGTGAATCTGCTGTCTCTGTCAGTTGCCTGGCTTCACTATTCTTGTGTTGTTCCTCGAGCACCCTGCCATCCCGTGCGAGCCTATACAATCAAAGACCATGACTTCCAAAGATGGCGAAGGACTGGATTTGGCACAACAAATTGCCTCTAATCCCAGCGATGAGAAATCCCCGAAAATACAGTATGGAGAGGCCGAAGATGCGGCAATTATAGCAGCACTGCAAGGCCATGTGCCAAATACTGCGGA